TATCTATCTTATTGTATTCAGAGCTGTATATCTATATATAGATTATTATCAATAAATTAAGAAAAGTTCCACTGACTGATATGATTAGCCTTCTCCAAAGTTTCGCCTTGAAAATCCTCATCAGCAACAGATAAATATTTGCATATTATGCCTTTAGTTATCTATTGAGCGGTTTTTGGTAAAATTTACCAAGCCTGAAGAAACTGACGATCTTGCAGTTTCCATGTATTTTTCTCAGTTGTATCACACACACACACACACACACAGATTCGAATAAATATTCCTACACCATGAGATTCTTTAATTAACCTACTTATAACTTCTGAATAAAACTTGAACTCCATACACTATTTCTACACTAGTGCATGCTGCTGTAATATGCAAAAAAAAAAAAAAGACAATGAGAAAGCTCTGTTATAAATGCAATTATGTGTTATTTGTAAAATTTCGAGGCGAAAAAATTATTCGTATTGTTAGATTCTTCCAATTATCTTATTACGGGAACAATCTAGAACATTCCGCAATTTATTTCTGATGTAAGGTTATCTCCACACACAAATCGTGCACAATAATTACCATCATGGGGAAACTCAAGGAACTATCAAAATCGCAAAAAGAATTGATCCTCAAACGTTAGAAGTAAGGCAAAAGCTAAAGGAAAATAGCAGATATCCTGAATATACCATTTACTACTATTAGTTCCGTTATTGGTAAGTATAAAAAGGTGAGAACTATTGAGAACAAATCGAGATCTGGTGCAACACGCAAGATTTCTTTCAGATCAATGAGAAGAATTCAGCGCAAAATTTACGAAGATCCAGTGACTACACGTTGAGAAATAAAGGAAGAATTAAAAGCATCAGGTATTATTGTTACGAAGCGAACGTTAAGGAATCAATTTCATAGAAGTCAACTAAGATCACGTTCTGAAAAAAAAACAAACTCTCCTCTACTATTGAAGAAACAGGGATGTTCGGTTAAAATTTGTCTGTAGGCATAAGAATAAACCTGATCATTTTGAGAAAATGTTTTGTAGACTGATGAAGCAAAAATTGAACTAATTGGACGTAATTCAAAGACTCACGTTTGGACAAAAGACGGCACAGCCTTTGCACCAAATAACACAATCCCGACGGTGAAATTTGGTGGTGATAATATCACGGTTTGGGATTGTTTTTCTGCTAATGGTACGGGTAATTTAGAGATAATAGATGGTAGAATTAATTCAGAAATATACCAAGATGTTTTGGATTCTAATTTGTATGGGTCATTAATACAGCTTGGACTCCTAAATGAATGGGTTTTGCAACAAGACAATAACCCTAAACATATGGCTAAATCTACGAAAAAATGGCTTATTGAAAACAATGTCAATACACTCGAATGGCCATCACAGTCTCCAAACTTGAATCCAACAGAGACTTTGTAGCGTGCGTTTATTAAAAATTCAAGTTAATAAAAGAGCTCCGAAAAACATTCTGGTCCTAAAGAGAATATGCAAAGAACAATGGAATAAAATACCAATGGAAATTTGAAAATCCTTGATTAAAAGCTACAAAAAGAGACTGATTGCTGTTGAATTGAGTAAGGAATATGCTACAAAGTATTAAATAGGTATTATAATTTTGTATGAATACGTTTTCCATCTCCAATTTTTCTTTTAATTTCATATAATTTAATTAATATAAAACATATTTTTTGCATATTGCAGCATTATGCCATTGTATACAAATATTGAATGGATTATTAAATTCTTCATTATTTACATTATTTGTACTATTGTCCTCATCTTTGTCGCCATATTTACTACAACGTTTCGGCCGTTGTACGCTCCTGCCTTCTTCAGGTGGTTGGAATGTCGAACTGAACCATTTATTTCGCTTATGTTACTTATCAGCTATCTCCTGTTAATTTCACTCTGAAAGTTCTCCACTGCCTTAATCGGGTATTGAACTCACACTCTTTGGGTCCTGTCACTGGTTAAGGCAGTGGAGAACTTGGAGAGGGGAATTAACAGGAGATAGCTGATAACGGACATCCAGTAAAACATGGCACGTGGAACTAGAACAGTCTACCCCAGTGAGCGAAATAAAGGGTTCAGTTCGACATTCCAACCACCTGAAGAAGGCCGCAGCGTACAACGGCCGAAACGTTGTAATAAATATGGTGACAAAGATGAGGACAATAGTCCGAATAATTTAAATAATGTGCATAATACCTCATCTCAGAAATATAAACAGATATAAAATTCTTTTATAAAATCTATGTTAGATAAAAAGATAAATGGTTTACGAATATTTTTCTCCCTCCACTGCGTGTATATATATATATATATATATATATATATATATATATATATATATATATATATATATATATATATATATATAACCTATGGTTAGTAAGAATTCATTCAAACTACTTTTGCTGTTAAAGATGCCGCACACCTGGTTTAAATATATGAAAACAAAGAATGCTTAAGAGTTTCTTCATGAATTTAACTGTTTGGCAAAGATATTCTGACACTGAAAAAATCTAATACATATTTGGCGTATATTTTCTGTAGATTTCAATAAATCGTTAATTCTGTGCATGATGTGATGTGTGTGTGTGTGTGTGTGTGTGTGTGTGTGTGTGTGTGTGTGCTAGTAGTGTTAATAAAACAGTGTTCTGGATAAAAATAACAGAGCTAAAATTTATACTAAGAATAAATATAAATTTCTTACACATCAATGTATAAGAAATTTATATTTATTCTTAGTATATATATATATATATATATATATATATATATATATATATATATATATATATATATATATATATATGTATCTATGTATGTATATATGTATGTATATATAATATAATATATATACACACATATATATATATATATATATATATATATATATATATATATAATCATTTTACCTACTGACGTCTACAATACTTGCATACGCGTAATGGCCTGACTGAAGGATTGGCATTCTAAGAAATATAGTTAAATTCAGCAGGCAAGTTTTTTTTTATGCGTTTTTACAGATTTTCCAAAAATATGTTGTACATCAGAATGAAATTTCTTTATGAAAATGTACTACTTTCATCTTTTGTTCTATTTTTTCAGAAGTTTTTTCGATCGTCTCAGTCATTATCAAGAATTGGATGTTGTAAATTAAGAAAACAAGATTCAGTTGGCTTCATACTGACATATTGGTGAACACTGACAATCAAATTAACTCAAAGTAGCGTCATGTGTAAAACGGTTACACGTATCTAGACCGTAGAATGTATCAAATTCTTATACACATTCTTATGCTGTACGCATGTTAAATAACTTATACACACTTTATAATAACATCTACCATTATAAATCATGTTTTATTTATATTCTGGCTTTACAGAACTTATATACATGACCGGCTACTCATTTTCCGATCTGACCCGTCTGCTAGGCCTGCTTAGACACATTTGTGTTTTATCAGCTCCCAAAGAGCTCACCGTTGGTTTGTACTGCATCTATGCTTATCTTACCATTTCTGGGAGACAGCGCATCTTCTGACGTTATCAGCTGTATGAATAAGGCCAGTTCACTCAAACTTTCGGTCAAGATGACTTGTGATTTCGTCTTACCACAACTATTGACGGAATCCGAAAAGTTCTGTCGACTCAATTTCAGTCACATGGCTTGGGTCAGACTGTCATATGGCATTCAGACATTTTGCAAATGTAGCTATCCAGACCAGTAACATCAAGACAGATTTTTATCCGGGTTACCAAATAAAGAAAGTGAACGTTCCAAACACTCAGCTATGTGTCCATTACTGAACTTATATAAACTAAAAAGAAAAGAATATGGATTAACCCCTTTCCAAAGGAAAGAAAAAAGTTACAAACGTTATGTACAACAAGTTATGAAGACACAGAATGTTCCATACCATCAACTAGGAAACTTAAACAAAAGTAGCTAGGACTGAGCAGGAATTATTCTCTGAAATGTCTGAGGATCGCAAAATAAAAACATCTACATTACCGAAACGAAAAGTATTTTTCGTTAAGGATCTAAACGGTTAATTTTGTTTATTATAATTGTATCTTTAATTAAATTATATCTAATTTCATTTATATTTTAAAATTTATTCCACAGTATTTTGGAGCTAATTTCGCAAGAAATAGTCTTTTCGTATATTAATCGTGGGAAGAGTCATAAATAATTTCACATTCAATGCATTTTGAACTGAATGAATTATTTTTAATTATTATTGAAACGTCTTTATTCACATCCAAACTGTGAAGAAGTTTTTGACAGTACGCATGCGCATTGTGTTTTTTTTTTAAATTCAAGTCCATTTTGTATTCATATTTCTTACCTACAAGTCTCGAGATCTTTCACAATTTCATCTTTTTATTTTTACGTTCTGTTTGGTAAACTCCAATTTCTGATGTGAAATTGGTTCTGTTTTACATTGATTCATTTTTTAATTGTTTTCGGAATGTTGGTGATAAAGAGATAAGCTTGAGTTTTTTCAACATTATTTGTAGTGGTATTTGTTAATAATAGCATATGCTTAGTGTTTGCACTGTAGTTGATATTTTCGTTTTTTGTTAGGTGGGGGCGTTAACTCACTTCCCCCTATAAAGGTCGATAACTCAAAATATAATTGATTTACGGCCTTTGTCCGCTAGTTCGACCGCGGCGCTTCTCAATTCAACATGGTGCTAAGCTAACACGCACATAGAACTCGTGGTTTAAATCCCAACACACCGTTGCTGTTCTTAGGCAATAAATAATAAAAGTTATTATGTTAAAATAATAATAATTATGCAATCTGGGATATAACAGATTTCCTTTGAGGTATTTATGAATTTTTTTGCTTTTCTTTTGGCATTGTATATGAAGTATCTAGGTTAAATTATTTTGTGAATTTTAAATGCGTTTTCCTTCTCAAGTTAGATGTTCTCATGATGTATATACAAGATTAATACTGAAACATTGATGGATATTTAAAACTAAAAGTACTAAGTAATTGTTTTTCATTATTTCATTCACCCCAAGCCCGGTGAAAAAGTGACTAAGACGCAAGTAGATGAGAGTGGAAGACAATGGAGTGAAGGAAACTAAGAAAACGTTACTGAGAGGAGGGAACAGTGAGAAGAACAGGAATCAAGTCGACAGAAGATGTCGATTGATGTTGCATTTAAATTCGTGTAGCTTATGTTTGACAGGGAAAGAAGAATATGGAAGAGTGTTCCATCGCCGAGAATTGCGGGAAAATAAATTCTTGGAATTGAATTTACGGTTAAATTTAGTAATTGCAACAGTAAAATAACGGGACATAGCCGCCAATCTAGTACTGCACTTAAATTCATAAAGTAGATATACCAAAGAGGAAAGCTCATCAGAACAATTACCATGAAAATCTTTATTGGAAAGTCACATGGAAACTAGGTTATGGTGGCTGGAAAATGACTGTAGCCGAGATGCCAGGTCGTAACCGATAACACTGCAGGTTCGTTGTTTTTTAACATGAACTTCTAGATATTGTATGGCAGAAACATCAAAATAGATGGGGTAGCAGTATTTGGTGCATAAATGAATAATAAACTTATTAAAATGTAAGACGAGCCAAAGTTATTTATATAGAAAGATTTGAAAGGGCAGTTTTTAAAATAATCATTATTTAAACTAAACAAAACAATTCATCTACAGATAGACGCAAATGCAGCTGGAAGGTCATCTTCACTTAAGAGACCGACGTAGCAATACCTTAATACGAATTCTCTAAAGAAAACTCTTGATATGTGAACATTGTTGTAAGCACTGTCCAGACAAGGGGTGTTACAAGGGAAGAAAGAAATGATCGTCTGAATATGACAGGTTTGCAGAATAAACTGCATATTGTAAAAGCTCCTATCCCAATGTCATGATCGATGCTACGTCACATTTCAGCTTCAGAACGGGCGTTGTCACACAATAATATCATTAACCGACATACTTGCCGAGAAAGCTGTCTTTTTTTTTTTTCCTTCCAATGTGTCATCAAACGTGCTGGCTGATTCACTTTCTCCCAAGATTTAACACAAAGAATAAACAGTGTCGAATGTGCATTTAATATTAAGTTACTGTTTTCATTCTACAAAATAAAATGATTTCCTTTTCTACGAATAGTTGTAAAAGTGTATGAAAAAAAAAACAAACAAAAAACAACAACAAAACAGTTCCAAGGCAAAATAATATGGACTTAAAAATACTCCAAAATGAAAAGTGTAAACTTTAAAACCGCTTCTAAGATTTCTCTAACATTTCTCAAAGCATAACACTGGGAACTGTGTATGAACTAAAAAAATAAACAAAGTTCCAAGACAAAATAATAAGATACTATACTATATATATAATATGATAATATGATACTATACTCTATATATAATATGATAAAATACTCCAAAGTGAAAACTTCAAAAATGCTTCTAAGATTTCTCTAACATTTTTCAAATCATAATACTGGGAAATGGATATGAAATAAAAAAATAAACACAATTCTAAGACAAAATAATATGAACTTAGAAATGCTCCACAGTAAAAAGTGTAAACTTAAAAAAAAAAAACGCTTCTAAGATTTCTCTAACATTTCTCAAACATGACATTGGGAACTGGATATGAACTAAAAAAAAAATAAACACAATTCCAAGACAAAATAATATGAACTAAAAAATACTCCAAAGTGAAAACTTCAAAAATGCTTCTAAGATTTCTCTAATATTTCTCAAAGAAAAACACTGGGAATTATTTATCAAGGAAATAGACAGCTGATATAAGTGTAATAACTTACTAAGTTTAGCAGTCAGTGAGAATCGAACTCATTACTGTCATAATTGATTTTTGCAAGACAAGATTTCTAACCAATACACCACGTCGAGGTGCACCTATAATTTATTAAGCATATCCGAGATGTGACACAAGGCTGAAAGTCTGAAGCACCTAGTTAGGATCAAACTCACTACTCAGTCGTAATTGATCTAGCAAGAAAAGCTTGCTAACCATAATACCAGGTCGAAGTACCGAAATCATTTTTCTAAGATTGGATTAGATGTGGCACGAGGCTAAAAGTACTGAGCATCAATTGCTACCATAGTATGTTCTGTCTTGCTTAGGATCTCATTTATTGTGACCTTGAACCACACTAATCTATGTTTATTATATATCACCTCATTCTTTTTTTTTCTGCTACTAGAGTTCAATCCTGTGTTCTATACTCTCAGAGTTGAGCCGATGCCGATGCACAACTGAATTGATTTCGGGAGGTCACCGTGCTAACGAAATATAATAAAGCTGTACTTCTGGGTCGTTTCCTTCAAAAAGAGCACAAAAGAAAGTCCATGCAATTCGATTGTAATCGTAATAAGCAGAGTTAGAAATAGCATACATGTCTACCATTTTTAGTTAGACTATGAATTTTTCCCTTGTTCATATTTCTTGAATTTTCCTTCGCTTATCATTCAGTTATTCATTTCTGGTATTTCTTCAATATTATATTCATTCATTTCTTTATTCCTTTATCTACTTGATTTTTTTTTATATTTCTACAATATTATTGGTCACTGAACTGACATCTTGATTGCATTCACATTCCCACCAACGTAATAAAGCTTCTCTGTGCCTTTTCTATAAATACTTCCATGATAATTATTCTGATGAGGTTTTTCATTGGGGCTAGTTTTTAAATTGTTCTTTTATTCCCCTCCCGCCACAGACAATAAATTGTACATATAAGGACTAGTTAGGATTTTCATAGAGACATTAAGATATTATAGAGTATGTAGTAAGAAAGGTAGGTAAGAATGTGTTGTTTTGGTGTTAGGATTATTGTTTGTATGTTTGGATCAGTGTTTGTGGCTAAGCTAAGTTAAATATTAAGACAGAAGATGACCTTAATCCCCCATTTTTTGCCTTTGTGTCACATTTTCTGTTTTTTTTAATACAGAAATACATATCGCTTTGGTCTATGGTACCTAGACTTTATGAATTTAAGCACACTGCTAGATTGGGAATAAGGCCTCATAATTTGGAGGCCATGTCACATGAGTTGAATTGGATATATGTTATTTGCTAACAATTTCTTTTCTCGCATTTCTCGCCTGTGGAGCTCTCTTCCGATTTCTTGCTTTCCAGCCAACATTGATCTTCAAAATTTTACACGCAAGGTGAATCGTTATCTACTGATTCTCTTTTTTCTTACCCTTTCACACCCAGAAATCCCTTGAGTTTTAGCGGTTTTATTGCCTTGCTTGGGGCGAAATCATTATTCAAATATATATATTATGAGCAAATAATTGTTAAGAAAGAAAACTGTGTTGTAACACGTTTCGTTATGCGAATGATCTTCTTCAGAAAAGAGAAGAAAAAGATTTATTGCTGGCATTATGTTTATATGTATTCGAGGTTATATGTATAACGCAAAAAGAAAAGCTTACAAAATCCACAAAAAACAAAAAAAAACAAACGAAAATAACATAAACGACTGGAGAAAACTTGACACATAATACTACCTAAATCAGCAATATTATTGGTCCTGACTTGGCATCTCGGCTTCAATCCCTTTCCCACCGCCGTAATGTAGCCGCTTTCTCCCTTTTCTATCAATACTTTCGTGGTAATTATTTGGCTGAACTCTTCATTATGGTATTGTTGTTTTATTCCCCTCCCTTCACAGATAATGAATTGTACATATGGGGACATAGAGACAATGAGGTATTATGGTGGATGTAGTAAGAAAGTTAAGGAAGAATGTGTTGCTTTGGTGTTAGGAATATTGTGATATGTTTGAGTCAGTGTTTGTGGCTAGCTGAGTTTAAATTTAAAACAGAAGAAGGCCCCCCCCCATTTCTCATTTTTGGCTTTGTGCCACATTTTCTGTATTTGAAGAGGAAATCAATGTCAGTCTCCGCTATGGTACCTAGACTTCATGAATTTAAGCGCACTACTAGATTGGCGGAAAGGTCTCATCAATTCACAGTTGTATTGGCTAGATGGAGCCGTAAGTTCTATGCTAAGTTTTCTTTTCTTCTCGATTGTGGAAATCTGACCGGGCTCCATGCTTTTCAGTCAACTTTGATCATAAAAGATTTAAATGCAATGTCAATCGTCATCTACTGTCATCTTGATTACTCTTCTGTTGTCATTGCTCCTTAATAACGTTTCCCTTTTTTCCTAATTATTTTACATTCCATAATCCCTTGTCTCATAGTAGATTCACTGCCTTCTTGTTTTGACGGAAATGATTAATAAAATAATGTCAACAATTGATTATAATTTATTTAATCGTAATATGAAATTATATATATATATATATATATATATATATATATAGATAGATAGATAGATAGATAGATAGATAGATATAATCAGGTTCATCAATACACATCGAAATAGTAACGACATGAAACCTGCTGCAGGAATTTAACTAAATAGCTTTCCAAAATTGCTCGGCGAAATACATTGGTGAGACATCTAGGAATTTAAATAAAGGAGTACATGATCACAAAAGAGATATTTTATAAAACGATACAATGAATGTTCAACATTATAGGTCTGGTCATATTTTCGGCTTAAAGAATGCTGCTTTAATTATAAGTGGAACTTAAGGCGAAAATGTATTGAAAGTGAAATCATTTTTGAATCATCTACGATATATTTACGCCCAGGGTTGCAAGATTAATACCAGTAGCATTATTAGGAACAATAACAATAAAAAAAAAAAAAATAACGCTAATAAAAAACTGAATGAAAAAGTCGATGTTTAAAGCTTACATATGCCGGATGTTCTTCAGATATATATATATATATATATATATATATATATATATATATATATATATATATATATATTTCTAAACTGTTTTTTTTCTTTATCGTCTGTTTAATGTTAAGCTTACTTTCTTTTTTCATTGATTCATTCTTTTTTCCTTCTTTCTCAGTAATATGTTGTTTTATTTTTCTTTCTATTTATCGCTATCTTTCTTTCTATCTCATTTTCTCAGTCATATTTCTTTTTCTTTCCACAGTCCTCATTTTCATATTCTTTTTTTTATTTTCTTTCTTTCTTTATCAGTCTTCTGAGCTAACTCAAATGAATAATATAATTTTATTCCTATCTTTCTTTCTTTCTTCCCTTATTCTTTCTTTCTTTCTTTCTTTTTCGGTCTTCTAACTGGATCGAATAAAATAATTTTATTCATAACTTTCTTTCTTTCTCACCTTCTTTCTTTCTTTCTTTCTTTCTTTCTTCCGAGATAAATCGACTGAATACTATAATTTTATTCATATATTCCTTCCTTCCTTCCTTCCTTCCTTTCGTTTTTTTGTTTGTTTGCGTGTTTCTTTCTTTCTTTCTTTTTCAGTTTTCCTTTTCTGTATCTTCTTCTTTTCACATTCAGAGTTCATTTTCTTAACATTTGTTTGTTTGTTTCTTTCTTTCTTTCTTTTTCGTTCTTCTAACTGGATCGAATAAAATAATTTTATTCATTTCTTTCTTTCTTTCTTTCTTTCTTTCTTTCTTTCTTCCGAGGCAACTCGACCGAATAAAATAATTTTATCCATATCTGTTTTTCTTTCTAACCTTATTTTCTTCTTTCTTTCTTTCTTTCTTTCTTTCTTTCTTTCTTTCTTTCTTTCTTTCTTCCAAGATAAATCGACAGAATAATATAATTTTATTCATATCTTTCTTTCTACCTTTCCTTCCTTCCTTCCTTCCTTCCTTCCTTCCTTCCTTCCGTCTTCGTTTTTTGTTTGTTTGTTTGCGTGTTTCTTTCTTTCTTTCTTTTTCAGTTTTCCTTTTCTGTATCTTTCTTCCTTTCTCACTCAGAGTTCATTTTCTTAACATTTGTTTGTTTGTTTGCTTCTTTCTTTCTTTCTTTCTTTCTTTTTCTTTCTTTCCAATTTCCTTTCGTTTTATCTCCTTTCCACCTACATATTTTTCTTTAATAATAAACATGTTGCGCCTTTTGAAAAAAGATTTTACTGTCGTTTTACATATATATATATATATATATATATATATATATATATATATATGTGTGTGTGTGTGTGTGTGTGTGTGTATATGTATACAAACACTGCACACAAAAAAATATATATATATATATACATATATATATATATATATATATATATATATATATATATATATATATATGTATGTATATGTGTATTTAATCATCTTCCTTCTTTCCCAAAGCATTTCTTTCTCTCTCTGGATCAGGATGATTATTCCGTCTTCAATTTATTTCCCCAATTGCTGCTGCCTGAAACTCTCGATTCTTTTCACTAATTTTTTTCACCGATTACATTTCGGGAAGGGCACAGGGTGTCGATGGAAAATTGCCTGCCAAGTACCCTTGACCTTCTATAACCAATTATTAAACCAATCCCTTTCAAAAGCATTCTGCTGTGAATTTTTCTCCCTCGACAAATCAAATGCATGTGCTGTACTTATATATTTGTGATCACTTACGTCAGTAATCCGATTGATTCAAATTCGATGTAACTAGGTGAGTCATATAGGGAAGGGAGACACAGCGAATTCGGGTTTATTTTATTTTTTTATTTTTCTACCATGCTTGGTAAGAGTCAGACGATTGACTACCTTATGACAGGATTAATGTCGAGGAAAAAAAAAGATTTGCACGTTATTAAATATATCATCACAAAGGGGGAATTGGTATATCGAGTTCAAATATCAGGTCGTTGCATTTCTTCCTTTTCTATGGGCTTCAACTATATATCGTTTAAAAAAACAAACAAGGTCTGTAATTTTATAGGGGATCTTTCCAAGTGACGTGGCTTCCTTTTTGCTTTTTTTTTAATAAATAATTTCATGGAAGTTGTTTATTATATATTATTATTATTATTATTATTATTATTATCATTATTATCATGGACAAAAAAAACAAGTTGGTGGAAAGATTTAAAAGGCAGGTCGTGGTTGGTTATACATTTCATGTTAAATCTCCGATGGTTCTAAATTTTAGACAAACTTAGTGTGTTCTTACTTAATAAGACAATTTTCTATGTCTCTTAATGTTTCAGGGATTAACTTTAGTTTTGTTTTGTTCCATTTTATAATATGCATGTAATTATAACTGGTATTATTCTTGACAAATTTCAAACAAGGTCTGTAATTTTAGTAGGCAAGTTTTTTCTTTCTGGTTTTTAAACTGGCCATCTCTGTGTGGATGGTATACTTTTCCATCCGATGTTCATTCAGTGTTTGACATTTTCCAAAAAAAACATTTCCTTTTATTGCCCCACTTCTATCGTGAATTTTTATATTCATTTAAATATAGAAATCCTGAGATTTTCATGTTTCTTGGTATTTGTTGAACCTGCATTTTGATCCACATTATTATTATTGAAAATTAGTGAAAATTATTATTATTATTATTATTATTATTATTATTATTCCTCCTGCTCCTTCTCTTCTTCTTCTTCTTCTTCTTCTTCTTCTTCTTCTTTGTGGCTCTTAATAAGTTTTTCCTTCTTGATATTTCTCCCAAACTCTATTCCACCATCTTTTTTTTACTCAGGCTCATCAACTATCTTACGCAATGCATACCTCTTTTCCCCAATCTGTCCTGTGAGTATCAGATTTTCCAAGCCCTCCTTCCTCATTACGTGCCCCAGAAATTTCACCTGCCTCTTACTGATGTTAAGTATAAGTTTTTTTGTTTCTATTTTCTCCAAAATCTTGTTGTTGCTCACATGTTCTGTCAACGTTATCCACATCATCTTTCTGTAGAGCCACATTTCTGTTGCCACTGTATAATAGACAGAATCTTATATTAATATAGGTACCTCCATGATATCGCTAAAAAAAGAGCATAGCATGAGGAAAAAGACGCCAAACTTGACGAAAACAAAATTTTATCGTCTAAATGCTTATGTTATTATTAAGAGGAAAGATCAAAGTTTATTTTAATTATTTAAAAAATTTTCCTTCCTTTTAGAACATTCTAAATTTTGATTAAAAAAAACTTGTTTCTCTTTGTATCACCAGAACGAGTAAAATAACATACAAAGTTTAACACTTTTTTATGTGTGTATGTGTGTGTGTGTGACACACATTAATTTAGAAAATCTTGCAAAAATAAAAATAATTGTCGGATGTTAATGAAACTTTCAGAAACTATTCACAGATGATTGAAATTATTATAAACATGTTTTTGTTTTTATTAAAGTCATGGCAGAAATATATTTTTATATGTATTTCCACCCCCCATAACTAATTTTTTAAAACGCTAGAAATTCGATCGCGTCTGGTTTAGTGATTACAACAGTTAAAAGCACAAGGCTTTGAGGAATGCAAATCATGTTTTTTTTTTTTAATTGGACCCCCCACCCTACCTGAAAATCAGCCCTGAATTGTAACATACAAAACTCAATAAAACAAATATATTATTTAATTTCAAATGCTTTCATTTGGTTTTAGTTGTTTTTATGAATATGGACAATATTTTCTGAAAGCAAAAGAATTTTTCGATAAAAAATGAATTTTTAATACAATTATTTGTTATTTCTTTAATTATAATAGATTTTTTACATTTAAGTTGTTAAAATATTATAAAATTAGTTAAAAGCCGCATCGGGTTTCCTAAGTGTCCTTATGAGATAGATCTTTTTTTAGCGCGGTGTAAATTGTATCATTTTGACTAATCAGAAGATCCGCAGTAATTAGGAAATGTAATTTTGTGTTTATAATCGAGCTGTAATTATAAAGTACGGAAGACCAACTAGAATACAATTAAGTTGCGTTATTTGAGTTAAGCATTGTTCTCTGCTGTTAAAGCCTTTACTTTTGCGAAACACGTGTGGAGAAATTAATTTGATTTTTCAATTTCAACTGAAAAGGGTACCTACAAGTATCAGTATCATCGTATGAAATTTATATGATCTTATTTTTATATTAAACTCAGTTATGACATTTTTCCATAAATAAAATATGAAAATTAATAATAAAATGAATGGAAATACAAATAACACAATAGAATGTAATAAATGCACATAAAATTATAGTATTTTATGTACACATCTGAAAAAATTTCATAAGAAAGGTATCTATAAATTAATTAGATACCTTTCTTATGAAATATGAAATTTAATCTCACTCTTAACAGTCTTATTTTAATTTCTTTATAATATATTTTCCATAAAGCATCGTAAACGTAAAAGGTGAAAAAAACAAAAAAAAAAAATTAGTGCCCTGAAAGTTTTCCTTAAAAATAACGAGGTAAATAATTTGTTCACTTAAATGTAAATAATTTCACGTTTCTCCTTCCGTAGAACAAATTATCCTCACGGAATCCGTCAATATGTCATTCATCACCTGTCAAGTGAGGCGAAAGTTTATGAGCTGCTTTGTTTTATTTTCAAATTACATCTTTTCGGCACAGAAGCTAAGTTTAGTTTGGTTCAAAATATTTTAAATAAACATTATAATTTCTGATTTTCTTAAAATAAGTTTTGAAAAAATGATAATTGATATTTAAAAGAATTTCAAAGTGAGATTTTCATTTTTTTATAAAATGAAAAAAATGTTTGCCATCTGTCAATTTTGCTGACTCAAAAAAAAAAGACAATATTTTTAACGAAAATTTCGGACGTGCTCGGAACGATTAAAAAATGTAAAAAAATACCCCCCAAATACTTTGATCTTTCCTCTTGATAATAAGATAAACATTTAGACGATAAAATTTTATTTTGTCAAGTTTGGCGTCTTTTTTATCATGCTATGTTCTTTTTTTAACGATCTCGTGGAAGTACCTATATTAATAAGAGTTAAAATGTCAACTTATTTTATAACTGCTATTTTTAGAAGGATGTTCACGGGCAATTCTTTTTTTAATATGCTACACTCGATTATTATACTGATATGTATTAATTCTCTTTGGATATAAAATTTGTTATGGTAAATTACCCATGCACGGATGTACTCTTTCAAGTTAGAAATAAAAGTAGGTACTGCTTTTGTCAGTAGAGTTGTTTTTTTTTTGTTTTTTTTTCCCAAAAGTTAGCTCTGACAGCTCGGACTTAACATTCTTCCTCGTTTGTATATTATTGTATTACAAAACCAACCCCCACTTTATGTACTGTAGAAACTTACATTAATCAGTTATGTGCCATGCGTGATACACGCTTAGGCGATCATGTATCGTTCGATACATGACTGACGAGGCAGATTTTTCTTGCAGTAGTTTGCCATTTCTTCTGCCACATACCGTTGATATTCAAGGCTATAGAATCCGGTCTGTCCTGCTCTTTACCCATAGCTGGGCGGGAGAAGAAGAGGATTCATACCTTTCCCAAGGGTATTAGCAAACTTCACTCCCCTGTTGTGTTTATGTTCCTAACCTCACTATGATAGCTGTTTTATTTCCCGTAGCAAGTAGATTTTTATTTTTTATTTTTTATTACTAGCTCCACATTCAACCGGTTTTGAATTATTTGACTTTCCCCTAGGCTGCTTGACAACCATAGCTAGAGAGTTCAGTGTGCATTGCTATTATCCCCTAGCTGGGAGGTGGGTTCGAGACGGTGGGTTCATATCTTCCCTAATGTATAAATCCAAAGCGAATCCGTCAGTCTCGACTGGAATTTGAACTCGACAACCCAATTCCATTTCCCACAAAGGTAACCACGCGACTACGC